GAATTACTTGCAGATATTGGTCTACACATATCTCCTATTAATTCCAGAAATAGTCAGCTTTTTAATATTGATTTCCACCGAACGAACTATGGTCTGAACTCACCCATATCAAAATTGTGTAAATTGACAAATAATGTGATAAAGAAATGTGATAATATTGATATTTTTAATGATAGCTTCAGCCAATTTAGATCTAAAGTTAAAAAACACCTACTAACTTGATGGATGTATTGTCAGACAGGATCTTAAACAGTTTTCAATTATTGTTATTGTTTTTGTTTAATTTTGTAACTTTTACCTTTTAATCCGTCATCTTTTTATCTTTTTATATTTTATGCCGTATGTTGTGTGATTTATTTTTTATAGAATGGTGACTAAATAGTGTCTATTTTAAAACATATATTTTGACTTTTAATTGTTCTTTTTTTATTTTATATTTAAAGTGATAAGTTTTGTAGATTGACATTTATATTAAATTGATAAAGTTGTAAGTGAAGGGTGGTGATGCTGTGGATCCCTCATGTTATCGCCCTATATCTCTGCTCCCGTCCCTATTCAAAATATTAGAGAAACTGGTTAAATCTAGAATGATCGCATTTAAATACCTAATAATTGCCAATTTGGATTCTGAGCTAAAATGAATATAAATACATGTGATGTGATTTTTAATATTCTGGAGTCACTATTTCTGGGTCTGAATAATGGTGACGTGCTACAGCCAGTCTTTTGCGATTTCTCGAAAGCATTCGACTGAGTTAATCGCGAACTATTGCTGGAGAAGCTTTACCATTACGGTTTTAGAGGGGTAGCGCTTGGTTGGCTTGAATTATTCCTTAACAACAGGAAGCAGATTGTCAGGTTTCAGAGGATAAAAACTCACTGGCTCTTATTGATCCTCACGGAGTGCCCCAAGGCTCAGTTTTAGGATCACCACTCTTTCTTCTGTATATAAATGACCTGTGGATATTGATGGAAAGTTGACCTTGTTTGCTGATGACACTACTATTTTATGGATTGAACTTGAGCCACAGATCTTGCAAAATAAAATCCAGAATGATATCATGAAGGTGAAAGAGTGGTGTGATGCAAATTGCTTGATATTTAATATCAAAAAAATATATATATAATGTCGTTTAGGTGTAGTGTTGATGATGTGGTAATGCAGAGTGACATATTTGTTAAAAAATCATGTACGAAATTTCTGGGAATTACTGTTACTATTGACCCAAGACTCAATTTTCCTGATCACTTAACTGTGCTTAATAAAAAGTTTTCTGCGGGTTGTTATGCAATAAGGGTGATAAGCAAACAGATGAATCATTCCATGGCAAGATCATTGTACCGGGTGATTGTCTATATTTTGCACCCACACCCATCTCACCTGTTTGAAGAGATACCCAAAAATGTCAAATGTGAAAGTTGTGGGTAATATCAGAAAGTTTTCAATGATGTTAGTCACAAGTGAACAGGGGTGTCACGAAACTGTGGCGGAGCAAAGTTATACTTTTTTAAATGGAAAACCCAGTATATTATGGTCCCATTAGATTATCCTCTGAGAGATTAGCCTTTCAAACCTGATTCCAAATATACTAGGTTTTTTAGGTTAATTCCTCATAGTCCAGCCTCTGGATATCCTATTTTGAAGAAATACAATGGATTTTTTATATGAATGATTACCTTTATTATTTGCTGGTTCAATTAAATATGCAATTATTCCAGCCCTTTTTTCCTATTTTCTCCTGGACTATAAGGAATAAACCTAAAAAACCTAGTATATTTGGAATCAGGTTTGGAAGGCTAATCCAATGGGACAAAAATATATGGGGTTTTCCATTTGCTTTGCCACACTTTTGTGATACACCCTGTATACTTGTAACTAACATCATTGAAAACTTTCTGATATTACCTACAACTTCCACAGTTGACATTTCTGGGTATCTCTTCAAACAGGTGAGATAGGTGTGCAGGCCTGTAGCCAGGTTTTGATTCCAGAGGGGGCAACCAAAAACAGATAAACACTAGATTTAAGTATTTGTTTTTTATATTTTTTAGAAGTACTAGTGACATTTATACATACTTATAAGTAGTTATAAGGCTTTGTCAATGAATACCCTGTATTTTGGACAATAAAGCATATTTGATTTGATTTGATTTGACTTAAAATCACGACAAGGTGCAAAAACTTTATTTTCAAAAGTACATAATAACTGATTATAAAATATAAAACCTTTTAACAAAACACAAATAAATAATAATAAAAATACATATAAGTGCACTTGAAGGGGCGTTAATGACATGAAATCTGTCAGTTCTATGTGGATTTTTTTAAATTCGTCTGCAAAGAAAAAGAAAAATTCACATCAGAATTGGCTCAAAATTGTCATAAACATTCTTTGATGGATTATCTACAATCCGAATATTTTAGTTTTTCGATAATTTGCGATTTTTTCAAAATGGAAAGTGTATATCTGGGCTAGGAATCTGTAATGAATAGAGATTTTTTCTCTATCTCCATTGAGGTCCCCTCTCTATTGATTCCCAAGAGAGAGAAGAAGATAGCAAGAGCCATAGCGATAGGAATAACGATCTCTATCCATTACAGTCCCAGCCCTGGTTGCCTATAGTCCCCTATGGATTATTTCTAAAATCTCGCAAAATATCGAAAAACCGAAATATTCGGATTGTAGAAAATCGATCAAATAATGTTTATGCCAATTTTGAGCCAATTCTGATGTGAGGTTTATTTTTCTCTCTGCAGACGGATTTAAAAAAATTAACCAACCAGAGCACAGAACTGACAGATTTCAAATTTCATTAATGCCACCCACCTTAAGGTAAAATATGAACTTCTAAACTGTGGTTTTATAAACGGAAAACGGTCGCAGCAAATAGGCGTAAGCTTCTTCAAAATAATTGGAGTTTATAAAAGCATTGTTAATATTTATCCGGAAAAACAGAAATTAAATCACATAATTTGCATTGTGATTTTATGTATTTTTTTTCTTATGTATTTTTTTTCTATAGTCTACTCTAGAGTGGGCAACTTTTTCTTTCAGAGTGGGCGTTGCCCACTCTGGCCCCCCTCTAGCTACGGGCCTGTAGGTGTGGGTGCAAAATATAGACAATCACCCAGTACTTTTCCGTAATTGAGTCAAATAAGATATGGAATGCCATTCTGGGGATTTGCTAATAAACAACTTGTGCAGTCAGCTTTTGTACTTCAGAAGAGAGCACTTAGGTATCTTTGTGGTTTAAATTTTAGAGAAAATTGTAGGGAACAGTTTAGAAGGGAAGGGATACTGACTTTAGCATGTCTGTTTATATTGGAAACAGTTACCCTAAAACATAGGAAGTATGCTGATGTTTCAAATAAAAATGTGCACAATACCCGGCGTGGCAATGAATTGCACCTGCCTATTCCAATACAAGATCCACTCTCACCAAACAGTGGGGGTTTGAAGTTGTATAATCACTTGCTTATGAATTTAAAGAGCCTAAACTGTTTAGAACGATTCAGGGTAACAGTGAAAAATCTTTTCCAATCTAAAGCATATTATTCGGTAGACGAATTTTACCACGAGAGATTTTGATGAGTTTTTGTTTATACGATTCAGCAAGACTTGTTTTTGCAACTTTAATTTTGTTTGTTGTTCCGCTATGTTGCTCCATATTGCTCCGTTTATTTTTAATTTTTTGTATTTTAACCAATGATTTTAACAATAATTTGTATTCATTTTCTTTGCAGTGTTTTTATCTTAGTATTGAAACATTTTATAGTTGTTTGTAAATTATGTTGTGATTATCTTATAATTTGTAGTTGTGTGCATCATTTATTTTATTTTATTGATTTAGTTTATAGCTCGGTTTATAGTTTTTGTATGTCTATTATCTTTTTTCTATATTTTTTTAAATTTTATTGTATTAATTAGAGCTTTGTTAAAAACAGGTAGCGTCTCGGAATTAAATCTCAAAGCAGATATGAAACACGAACATTAGAAGTGATGTACTCAACACACAAACTTACACTGACTGAAAGATGCCTCCAGTACACGTGTTTGAAGTTATTCAACGCCTTGCCTCAAGAATTAAAGACAATAGGTGCAACAAGAATATTTAAAAAACGCCTAAGGAAATACTTGGTGGTATTAGAGCCTTATGTAGTTTCAAAGATTCTTGTAGTAATTTGCAAAATTGAAGCAGCACTTGCTTTGTGACGCTGTTTCAGTTTGTGTCCATGTTCCATGTAAACATAATTTGAAATATAGCTATTTATTATTATTATTATTATTATTATCATTATTATTATGACATTCTAAAACTCTTGAACATGCAAACTCTAACCCAAAGGAGAGATCATCAAGACCTGTTTATTCTGTTTAAAGTAGTGACTAATATGATCCAGTCACATCAGCTTTTATCTTTGGTTGGTTTTAATCGAGGTTTTAATGTACCACATGGCATAGGGAAAATCGACTATTTATGTACCTACAGTACCATCGTACTACCTATGGGTACAATTCTACTATAACTAGATTTTTAAGACTGATAAATGCTGCGATAAGCAAATTGAATATGGATCTTCTCAATATTGGATTGGAAAGTTCTAGAAATCAAATTAAATTGGTCTGGTGATAATGAGGGTGATTGTTTTATTAGGTGTTGGTTTTTATTGTATATGAAAATCATCACAGGTTATGTCTTTTGTTGTGCTTATTTTAAATTATTTATTATTGTATTTTTTTTTTAATCTAAATTACCAACTTCACAGATTTTCGTTTGTTGTGTTTGTTGTTTTATTTACCTATTTGATGTTCTGTTCAGATAATACCTAAATAATTACAATATGATTGATTGGTAGTACACATACCACATATCTAAATATAAGATTGTTATCACTTGGAGTAAGAATGATTGTTCTTCAAAATGGCAAGTCCGTAAATTCAAATTCAAATGTTCATAATATTTAATTGCTTTATAGCTAAAAATTAAATCCAACTCACCTAATTTGTTTCTTGTCACTGAATTTTCATCTTGAGCAGGAAGAGGAAAGACAGGACAACTAGAAGAACAACCAGGTTCGTCCAAAGTTGTCGAAGATACTTCGTCAGAACAAAGAACGTCTTCAGAAGGAGGTATATTGTTGGCTTCTTCGCTACCCCCTCTGTTTTGGATGTTGCGTCGAAGTTCAGGCACTGAACATAAGAGATCGTTTAGAATGTGAACAATTGTGGCCACATCTCGTCTGGGCCGGCCCCTGGAATCCTGTAAAGTGGGACTTAGGGCTCCGCTGAACGTGCCAGAGTAGACATTTTCTCGGCGCCCACTTGCTGCTATTAATTTACAATGATTAAAATAATTTATTTCATAATGGCTTTTTTAATTTACCTCTGCTTCTGGTTGTTCTTTCTCGGCCAGTGAAAATATCAGCGGATAATTTTCTCAAAGTGTGTTGCAAGTTTTTACTGGCTTGTAACAAACTGGGAGGTCCTGGAGATTGTACTAGTGGGGCACAATTTGGTGTTCTGAAAAAATAAATATTTATTTAGGATTCAGTTGTAAATTAGACAATTGTCCTGGAAGAATTCAAAAAAACGCAGTTTTACAGTTTTTGCCGAGACATCACCTAACTTTTTTGTTTTGATAGCTCCATGATTAAGAAGGCCGAGGTGCGGTTCACTCTTCAAAATTTGTACACCGATTTAAACTCACTCCAAGATTTTAATTGATTTATGAGATTTAATAACTGATTTATGGAGATTTATAAATATTTTTAGCTGATTTAGTAAAATTTAACCTGATTTATAATGATTTTAGGCATTGAACAGAGATTTGTCTCAATTTGTACAATTATTTATTGTGATTTTGCCTGGGATTTATGGAGATTTAAACTGATTAATGACCTACAGTTACAGTTTCTCAAAGTTTGCATGTCAATATATTTCATGTTTTACCTCAGGACTTTGTTGTCAAGTCTGTTGTATTTTGTGGCAGAAATTAAGCAATTTTCAAATGGATTTACACATCGATTTCCAGGTGATTTATCTTGATTTTTGGAGATTTTCCTCGATATTTGGAAATTTAACCGGATTTATGATGATTTTATCTGGTAAGAAAGAATGAACTGATTTATTCTTTGATTTCAATGGATTTATGCCAGGTTTTTACACCAATTTAGTAGAGTTATCTCCCCTCGACTAAGGCTTCCCTAAGAAACAATATAATTTAAAAATATGTTACAAAGAACATATCCTCCAAATTTAAATTTGTAAAAATGTATCGAGCAGTCAATTAAAAATGTAAAATTTAATTTAAACTTTCGACTAGTTGAGTGTCTTTTAGTTCTTTGTTCTAATCCTGAGCCAAATTAAACTCACTTGCTTGAAGATGAAGCAACCGTACTGAGTTGCAGCTGAATGAGCATCATGTGATCCCCTAAGCGCATACTTAAATTAAGTGGTGCTTTGCCGCACAAGAATTCATTCACTTGAGTATCGTTCAATGATTCCAGGGCTTGCATGATTCCTATCTCGGGGCGCTGATTCTAGAATAAAGAGAAAAGAAATTTTAAAAATTAGAAAGCAAATTTTTGAAGTGGATTTTGATAATATTGAAAACACTTACTATAAGGCCAGTCTCCACATTGGGAAGAATTGTGATTTTGGATCCCTCTGTGATACCATACTGATATAAGTTACCATCTTGCAATTGCCTGTAAATAAAGAACTTATTAGTAAATTTCTTTGTCCTGGCAAATATGCATATATTTAACTCATAGCTTAATGTGTTCTGAAATTGAGACTTAAAATCTACCTTAAAATTGGCACCAAGAATTGTTTACCTGGATATAGGATATACAACAATCCCTAGTGCAAATTGTTAACATTTCCTAACAATTTGTAATGCATTAAATTTTGCACAATAAATCATTGAATTGAAATTGTGTAGTTCCTGATTACAACATTGATTGAGAATTTGGTATTGCATTCCTTGATTTGACAAAAAAGTAAGTCATACCCTAGCACAAAAATAGAGTTTTCAAGATTCACTATGCAAACAAACATAATAATTATTACCCAATATTATTTGAATGTATTTTGTCCTCGATTTTGTCTCCTTAAAATGGACTTGAAACTAAATCAACAACATGAAAAATCTGTTCAATTAAGTACCACACACACACAAGTAATAAATTAATAAATAACTGTAATAATAAGGTAATGTGTATGAAACCTACTTAAAGTATGTACTTACTTATCCCTAAACAAAAGGCATATTTTGTCCCTGGGCACTTTCAGTCTTTTTCCAATGAGTTTTTTCAAGTTTTCCACGGAACTGTTCGCGTCTACGCCTATAGAAAAATCGCCTCCGGTGGTGGGGCTCACTTGCACATTAATTTCGGTGGTATTGTTGCCACACCCCTTCGAAATGGGGCTACTGGTGGTCCCCTCGGGCTCCATTGTTCCATATACACTTAATTCGCAGACCCTACTCCTACTAGTGGGACGCTAAACAAAGAATAAATTCATTTTGGCACTCGAGCAACCACACACACGGACACGATTTTCATTTTTCTCAGTTCTTCCAGCTTTTTTTCCACTAGTGGAGAAAAGTAATCAGTTTTTGGATGACAGGTCTAACGGAAAAATACGAAGTTGTCCGAAGAGAGGGATGTCCCAAATGTACACAAAACCTTCATAAGCTTCAACTACTCTTGCTACTCCTCCGCGATCATGTTAACTGATCCCGATCATAACCGATCGCGTTCGTGAGTAGACCATTTGCGGATTAGCACAAATGCACAGTAGCACAAATGGAGCCATCTCTCCCAAATTGCCAAGCACGAACCTGGGCCGAATGGCGAATGTACAAATAAATAAAACGAGGATGCCTAGTCTTGAGTCTTCTCGCAAGAATCTCGTATCTTTACAGTGACTCAATACACCACAGTGGCGGGTATTATTGCCGTCCTATTATCTATTGGTTTCTTTGAAATTCTATGTAAAGTCTGTTTTTTTAGCTTCCTAGATAGGAAGCTATGGTATGGTGATAGCCCGATTTTGACCATGTCAAAATTTCATTAAAAGTTGACGTTTTAGATCATTATACCGTGCGTTCGTTATTTTGGTCTGAGTTCTCCGAGCATGACTTTACCGTTCGTTTATTCAAAAAGTGTACTCGGTGCAGCCTCATTCGCGTTCGTTTATTAAAATTTCTGGCACTTTTATATAGCGTTCAACTACTCTGTTCCCTCGCTGGTCACGTGATTACGGCTCCGCTCAGCACGCTCTGCTCTTCGAGCAAAATACCGAACGCAAGGTTAAAAAAATGGCCGTTTCCACCAACGCAAACTTAAGTTTACTTAACGTTAAGTGCCGCTTACATTTTAATTTTTTTTCCACCAGTCTCACCTAGTCTCATTAAGATAAGCTTAACTAAGCCCAAAAATGTCTAGGCTTATTCCTCCCTTAACAAAGTGACGATGATAAGCGCAAGCATTTGCATAATATGTTTTTGTTGGCATAACAAACGTTGAAATTGAATTGAGATAATATTGGAATTTTCTCAATTTTCTAATTTCTTGTGTAGCTCGAGCAGACTGGCTAGTCTTGGTCTTGGTCTCGAAAAATAAATGCGGTCTTGGTATTGGTCTTGATGTTTCAAGACCGAGACAAGGCTGGCTCAGTCTTGGTCTTGGTCTTGATAGTCTTGGTCTTGGTCTAGATAGTCTTGAAAAAAAAATTCATACCAAATTTTTAAAATACACATAACATCTAACGACAAAGCAGAGATAATGAGGCTGTGGTTTAGGACTTCAAAAATAAAAATAAACCTCCTTTCCTGAAAAAATTATGCCGACGTTTCGACCATGCATTTGGTCTTCTTCACAGGCTATTTTTACCACCAAGAGCGTTCCATGCCAAAAAAATACTGCATAAAAGCATTTCACAACACAGAGGAACAAACAAACATCAATTCTTAAATTTTAATTTTTATTAACGGAACAGGAAAGTCAACAAATACATCATGAAATTGCCATTCTGTACCGAGGAAAAAAATTAATTTCTTTTTGAACCATACATTAAACCTACCTTACCTACCTGAGCATTCAGGCCAGAGAAAGGTTTTCGAAAACCTTCACATATTCACATACCTCATTTGAATTTCTTTGTCCTATTGACAATAATTAGATTTGGGTTAGTTTGGGTGAGATGTGGGAGAAATTCCAATAATTAGTTATTGTATTATGTAGGGATAGGAAAATATCGATGTGTTCTGTATAAATGAATGTTACCTAAAATCTGTTTTTTTTTTAAAGATAAAATTCAAAATGACATTATGTTGGCAATACAATGTAAAATTGTCAATGCTTTCAAATTTTTATGTAGAAAAGGCTTGTGTTGCCAACAAAGTTACTAAATTTTTGACTTGGGGAATTATCTTTAAAAAAAACAGACTTTACACTTGTACGTATGTATTTTTAAAACCTATAATAACTTCTCGTGAATTTCAAAATATTTTTATAAATATTGAGTCGATTTTTTTTTTCAAGACCAAGACCAAGACGAGAGTCTTGAGAGAGAGTCTTGGTCTTGGTCTTGATCATCAAGTCTTGGTCTTGGTCTTAAGAAGATTTATCAGGTCTTGGTCTCGGTCTTGGTCTTGGTCTTGCTACCAAGACCAAGACTAGTCTTGTGGTCTCGCGAAGCCCTAGCTTTTTTGGATAAACTCTCCCTGTTTGTTTCAATTCCCCGACTCCACGCTGCTCTAGGCACCTTCGTGCTCGTACACACACAATGCAGGATAAACTACCAATATCTCTGTGAAATAAACCGAACCCGGACACTTGCGTCTATTTCTCAACGTGACTCCTTCAGTATGCGCGTGCGCGTACTTTCCACAGAAGATTTTAAGGTTAGGTTTTCCTGTTTTGTTTTGATTTTGAACTTGTACTTGTTTCGTAACGTAACATTGTTTCTACTGACCCTAAAGTTTCTATTCACTCCGTTTAGGGTAATTTTTGTAGTTACATATCTGTTGATTCGTATCGTGATGGAGGGAAACAGTGAAAACATTAAAAAGGGCTTATAGATAAGTAAAAGTGATTGAGTAAGTCTAATGAGAAGTAAGTCCAGAAGTGAAGATGTATCCAAATTTCGTAGATATGTATATGTCTGTACTTGGTGTTCCAAAACATTTTCAAATCAGGGCAATTTAAGCAGACATACCAAAAATATGCATGATTCGTTGGTGGCTGGAAGGAAAAAAACAATATTTCCTAGAAAAAATGATTTCTTTGTCGGCGATGCCCGGATAAACAAAATCAAAAAATTGATGCTCTTGGACTAAATTTATTCTCAATTCTTTATGTGTAGAGTTTTTGCAACAGTTTTTGCTTATCCGGGCATCGCCGACAGAGAAATCATTTTTTGAAGGAACCTCGATTATCTGTGGCGGGGACTATAGATACTTTCTTTTAGATTTTATGTGCATTTTGATTTTTTCTGTGTCAAAATAAATTTTTCACCCAAATACATAGGTACCTTTGTGTTTTATTTATTACAGATATAAATAGTTAAGGGCTAGATTGAGTTTCTTGCGCTAATTTTTTGCTAAGTAAAAAATTATCCTAAACGGGGTGGATAGAAATTCCAGAGTCAGTAGAAACAAAATTAGGGAATTTAGGTAACAACGTACAAGATCAAAATCAAAACAAAACAAAAAAACCTAACCTAAAAATCTTCTATGGTAAGTAGGCGCACGCGCATACTGAAGGAGTCACGTTGAGATATAGACGCAAGTGAACCCGGACAACAATAACAACTATCTATTAATAATAATTATTATCTTATAAAAATTAGCGGGAAGCGACGAATGACAAGATAACTTGACACGACTAGTGTAAAAATCAAAAGTACGCAAATCTTTCACCTGAAATTCAATGTTGCCAAAGCTTTACGACACTTAGCTAAGCTTGCACTTAAAAACAATGGTGGAACGAAATTATATTTGAGTGTCCCTTAATTTTCAAGTGCTTCATAGTTAAGCAAAGCTTAGTTATAGTTTGGTGGAAATGGCCATGCCTTTTTGGCAAGGTGGCACATTTCCGTCTGTGTGTATGTGTGTGTGTTGGCATTTTTCTGAGAAAACGGCTCTATGGATACATTTGGAAATAGGTATAAGAAGACGTGTAGGGAAAAGTTACGCAGAGATATAGGAGAAAAAATAATTCCTCTCCAAGATATGACGTCATTGATCTTTTTTTTAAATGGGAACGCCATCTTTTTTTTCATTGATTGGTAAGAGCTCTCAAAAAAAAAATAATAAAAAAAAAAAAATTAAAAAAAAAAATCTCAATAGGACATTTTTGAATCGTGAAAAATTATCCGTAATTTTGAAGCTCTCGTGGTATTATGTGGTATTATCCCCGAAAAATGATATCAAAACCTGAAAAAATGTCTAGATTTATTAAAATGAATTCATGGTTTGAAATGACAAATAATGACAATGACAATCATTAATTAGGTAGTTATTTATCTAGGAAGCGTCATGTCAAAAATTTGACATCTGGTTTTTAAAGATAATTCCCCAAGTCAAAAATCAAGTAGGTAACTATGGGTACATTCAGGCGGTGCCAGCGGCTTAGTTCAGCCACTCAGGGCACTCAGCGGAAACTTTATTCTCGAAACAGGGGAGCAGAGTTCTCATTGGAACGAAGGTTCTGTCTTTGTCATCTGGCATAACACTGACACCACTGGTGACGAAAGTGAATGATTAGAATTTTACATGCTAAATACATTCTTTCAAATCCAATTATAATTTAACTTTGTGGAGCACAATGAAAAAACATAGTTCATCACAAAATTATGTAAATTTTGCTATATATTAATGTAATCAAAGCAAAATCTATACCGGGTGTCTACGAGATCAGTTTCGCACTGGCATTTGCTGGTTTTTTTCTCGATGGCAAAGATTTTTGGTATGGAGTGTAGGTTTGAGAAATGTCATCTTTTGTCAATGTTTGGTAACTTCCGGTTTGACCGGAAATGGTCCTAACTCCGTAATTTTGAATAGCACCCCAATAATTTTTTCGCATTTTTGGTATCTACGGATCATGATGTGTACGAAAACGTCAAATTTGAACATTTTTGAAGAAATTTTAGAACTCTGGATGAAAATTTATTTTTGAACAGGAAGTGACGGAGCGGTCTTAAAATTGTTATTTTCAACCAACACACTCGTGGAAAAATGCGAATACCAAGTTATTATCCTATGCTTGTTCTCCAAAGGCTTCCAAAGCTGAAAAAATCACATTTTTGTGATAACTCAATGAAATCAGTGAAATCACCCGACACTCCATACCAAAAATCTTTGCCATCGAAAAAAAACTCACCAAATGCCAGCGCGAAACTGATCTCGTAGACTTGTACAGACTGATCCAGATTCTGGAAAATGATCCCCATGTCTTTTGGGACCTTTTCCAGAATTTTTCCGACCCTTTCAAGAAGTTTCCAGGCCTTTTCCAGACGTTTCAAGAGATTTCCCGACAATTCAAGAGATTTCCCGACAATATCCAGACT